TAAGTATCTGTGGGGTTGGAGTTGGTACTAAAGGTTTGCAACTCATTGCAGATGTAGCTTACAGACAGTATTTCTTGACATGTATGCAAATGCGTGAATTACAATGACCTTTGAGAACAACAAAAAGTTCAACAACAAAAATTTACCATGGAACTGAACATCTTCCAAGATAGACTGCCCAATGCCTTTGGCACATTTTCAGCTTTATCAATCAATTTTTGGCTTAATCCTAGCCCCAAAGGCTCCTGCACTAGAAAGCATACTGAACCTCACAAAACAGGTGCATGTACTTGTCTATGTACTTGTACATGCAGGTCACTGTACTAAACCTGATAAACTCCAACAGAATGAGCCTGTTGGAGTTTGAGTGATACGTTATGGATGGGTCTACGCAATATAGGATGACTTGCACTGAACAGTACCAAACCTGACAAAATCAAGCATAGTCCAACAACTGGCTCAGCAAGCCAAACATTGCACACAATGAACCCTGTGTGTCCCAACTCAGAATCAAACACCTTCTCCCTGGGCCTTTTATCCCAAGTCTCACAAAATTCAACAAGAAGTTCCTCAAGTACGGTACCAAACCTGCCAAAACCTCACAAAAGCTGTTGTTGGAGTACGGCAGATTTGGGGTAGTTAGGGTTAAGGAATTAATCAACTGTATAGAAATAATTCTTGTCCTTTAGTTATAAAGACACTGCATCATTGTCAAATCTGACAAGAGTACTTACGATAATGCTGGAATGCTTCTTCGAACGTTCTGACCGGGTTAAGAATAGGTCTGGGACTGTCCTTACAATCATCTTGGACGGTAACACCAAGACTCTCTCTAATCAGAACAAAAGACAGAATTTAAAACAATGAAATTAAATAAAATGGTAACACATAAAACGATATTTACAACACAAAGATCATGTCCAATACATCTGCAACCAAATGTCATCAACAAGCACTCAGCAACAATGACATCCTTCTAAGATACCAATTCAGCTTATCAGAATCTTTACTGGCTGAACTTTTCAACTTTTTAATCCAATTGCAAAAACCAGAAAAACACTGAATCTTCTTCAAATGTCCTATTTCGAAAACAGTAATTTTGACCCATTGTAAGCATGTTTTAGGAAGGTTACCCTATCAGAGATTTTTTGCCATGAATGACACCCTTACACAGTGATGACTGAACGCATCTGCAACATGGGTCATTTAATAACTAAAGGCATGATTTGGAAGGCCCAGGTGGCAGATGCCAAATGAGTGTTTAGATACTGTAATGTTGTCTTTGGCAACATTCAAAGGCCTGAAAAGAACGACATCTACAGCGGCCAGCCATATGAAGTCACCTAAGTCATGTCTAACACAACTTCCACAGATCTGCCAGACCGTGAGTACAAAATGCAGCAGAAAGTGTCGAGGTAAAAACAGGGTACGTACATGTATGTCTGCCACTAAGGAATCAGGAAATAATTGGTGGTTTAACTCGTCAACAACCCTGCAAATACACATAGCCAGATGATGTCTCTACAGTTGTGAAGTCTGCCCTGTCTTTTACCTGATTTCCTCTGCTTCAAATTCTGTCATATTTTGTATCGATGGCGAGATGATGTAAAAATCCTTGATTACAGCAGGGTAATCTATTGGAAATGAAGTCAACACAATGATAAAACAAACTGAAAATAGGTATAGGATTTGTTTAAACACCGCATTGCGCCTATTCGGATTTTACCCCATGGCCAAAAAAACAATTTAAAACAAAATTATCGGCAGGTCCACTAATCCTTCTATCTTCCATCACCATCCAAAATCCATCATAATCTACTTCTCATAGCCAAGTGAAAAAAAAATGAAAGTTTCTATTCCATTTCTCTTTCTTTTTGAAAGAAGGGAAGGAGAGTACTTTAATGGCAGTTCATTTGAAAAGCTTGTAGCTTGGCTTCAGACTGGATTACAGCTCTATACAAAAGCAAGGGATTCAGCTGATCTGAGAGAAATTTGCTTGTCTGACATCCTTGACCAAAATACATGATAATCCAATACCCTTCCATTTCTCCAATTCCGATGAGGCAGCGTCTGCAAGAGCCTTTTTCCAGTTGATTGTGGGTCTACGGACACAATGGAAAGACACGGTGACAATAGTTGTAATGAAACAAAACTTAAGGGACCATTTACAGACGAGCAGCAATGACGTTTATTAACCCTAACCCTCCTCAATCCTTCACCTGTTGGAGGATTGAGGAGGGTTAGGGTTTAGCAAGGGTTTTTTGTGCTTAAGCAGCTCTATGAAATTGGCCCCAGACTGCAAAGAGGAGAGAAGTGTGTGGGAGGCACTTTAGTTGGGTGCCCAGCACACACACCGAGAACTCGTTTTCAACATGTCCAAAGCCAAATACACAGACATGCGCATGCTGCACGTATGCGGTCAGTTCCCATCAAAGGACCATCAATGTTATATCAAAGCACACCATCTCCTCCTTCCACATGGAGTGGACAGTACTATCTCATGCATTATCTCAAAGCACTGGACAGTTATTCACCTGTTCATCAAGCAACCGTACCACTTTTGGCAACTGGTATCACTGTACGGCCTGAATTTACCTTCAAATGCACCAGTTTATTTATACTCCTCGGTGAAGAGAGGTAAGCCAGATGAAAATGACTTGCCCCAAGGTCACAACGTGTAACCAGCTGCTAGATTCGAACCCCTGACCCGATGATTGAAAGTCACAAGCCCTAACCACTAGGCCATGCGCCCATCATAAAAAAAGCTTTAATAAAAGTGACACTATAACAGAACCTGGGCTCAAAGATTAAAGACAGAACGCTGCGTTCTCGAGAAGTCTGCAGCATACCTTTTTACTTCTCCGTCTGTTACTGTTGTCGTCCCTGCCGCTGATGACAGTGATGATGCTACAAATGTAACAAATAAGGACAAATTATCAAATGCAGAATCACTGACAACAACCACAGTTTATGCTGCACTTCAAGCCTCCCACGGCTCCAGTGGTTCGGATGGACTTCAAAAAGTACAGCGAAAATTCACTCTCCTGTTGTCTTCTCGCAACATCAAATCCAACATTAAAAAGCAAAGTTACAGAAGGGAGTTCCTTACATCGGCAGCAAAGAGAAAGTGATGAGACCGAACTAAGGTGCTTGTAAATTTTAGCAATTTGGTCTCCTGAGACATAAATGCTTCAAAAATTAATGTATAAATAGTGAACATAAGTAAGCTTGATTAATCCAATCCACACAAAAATTTATCCCAAAATCTGAAGGCCTGTGCAATGTCTGTGACGTGCCAGAAGTACTCCCAAACCTTTTTATTACTACTTAAGCTGTGATTCATGCATTTCTTCCAACAGTCTCTGCAGTTTTATCCTTATCTGAAATTCCACATTCAAACCCCAGTGCTTTATGAATCTCATGATTCTGCAGTAAACCAGTTGTTATAAATTCTATATTTCTCCCCCCTCCCCCCAAAAATTATAGGTCAACAAACGACATCACAATCAATCGTTTTCCTTGTAATTTAATATTTCATTTACTTTTCAAATGGTTCAATTTGTCAAAGTATTTAAATTTATCTTGGAATAAAACATGCATAAACTATTCAGGGTAATCTACATGTACGGCCACTGTGCCTTTTGCCCCCTCAGGTGTACAAAACCCCATGGACCCCTAAACTGCAGGCAACAACTGTTGAATGTACAACACAGACACAGGTTGATATGCAGGTACTTGTAATGATCTAACTACACTGCGGAGCGCATTCACTTACAGTTATAAGTACTTGGAAGAGATGGTTTGGCTCTGTATAATGGCGGTCTGAGTAACTCTTCGATCATCTGTCTGGCTTTCTCAATGGCCTCCTCGGTCCCGCGAAGCTCAACAGGAATGGTGCCGTCATCATTCTCTTGGTCTCTTGGAACCTGCCAAGGAAAATGACACTGCGGTTGAACATGACTCGCTGGTGAACTCAAACATCACAGGAATTTACCTCCCACAGAAGGAATACGTTCAAACTAACTTGAAATCAGTGGAACAGTTTTAACCAAAACAGCACAATAACCTAGTTTTTGTTTGTGTCATGGATGAAGCACTAGTTTGGTCTATTTTGGATGAATTCTGTCAGGTGTTGCCCGCAAAAACCCAGAGGGAGTGGAGGAATTTGCTGACTGTAGATGGCAAGGTCAACTGCACCTCTACAGTTGGGACCATCCCAAATGTACTTTAGGCTTATAAGATATAGTTAGAACTAGCTTGTTATATTGCACAAAGGTTTGCCTACTTAAATTGCATTTGTGATTTCGGTTAGGATTTCCGTAACCTTCATACCCTCATTGATCCTTCAAAGGGAGGCTCTGAAGGACTTTTCAAGGTACATGTACATTTTATAGAGTTTAACTATTCTTACTTTTTCATGGGAATGAATGCTACTGGAAAGTTACATGTAAAGAACAAAGTGTGGGCATGAGGCACCCACATTCAAGAAGGTCTCTCTCAAAAAATATGTGTGCAACTGAAGTCAAGCCAGCATTTTGGACAGTCTGGTCTTTCAGGCATTGTTACCAAACTTGTCATATGAGTTAACGTTTAGCACACAGACCGTTCAATGGAAATCAACATTAAACTGACAATAACTAAGCCTGACCTTGATTCTTGCGCCGCTTTCATCTTGAAGCTCACGGATTTTGCTACCTTGTCGACCTGCAACATGATGTGAAAGTAATGTAGAAACCACCAATTCTTGTGATTTTTGTGTTTTTCCTTTAATAACTTCTATAATATTTATATTTTCAGCATTTGTGACTACAAAAATGGATACTGATAATAAAGATGAAAAATTGATAATTCAGTAAGAAATCCTATGTATATAGCATTGTGTTTCCAAGCACGACACTTTGAGCTTTTTCTCGAAAAGTGCTTTTATTGAATCTGAAAATGTGGATATACAAATGTCTACATATCTCCAGAACGCAGCACACTACTGGGGTCATTCATATATCAAATTGTAGCTTTTGATGTACAGCATACAGCCATATCAAAAACTGATATCCTGAATCCGGCGACTTATTACCCATTCTTCTAGAGCCGGTCACATATAGTTGGCCAAGACATAGGCTTAGGGGCCAAGTCAACCTAAGGGTCCTGCAGCCACGTATGTAATTCCCGGCTGCGACCACGACAACCAGCCTGACGGGCATGGCTGGTTGAAATGGCAGTTGGCTTCAACGTGGGGAGGGTCACATGGACCCATCACGGGGCTCTTCACGTATGGTACAGTGGAGCAGAGTGTGCAACAAACCCGCACTTCTAGGGGTGGACAGATGTCACTTTGCGACAAATACTATTTAGGCATAGGCTAGCTACATGCACATGAACCTGTAATCAAAATAGAAGGGGTTCCCTCCCCCACTGCTCATGCTCACGCCATGATTCAGTGCAATAAGTGGATTTCTCATGTCTGTCATGTCATCGTCAGTCATGTCAGTGAAACAAGCCTTTTGCGAGTTAAATTTGAATAATATCTGGTACACTAACTTATCTAATTGCACAGAAACCAAAAATTTGAATTCTCCAGACTAAAGACACTGTTGCTATACATCGTGATTCAGGGCAAGGTATATGGAACTCTTTGTCTTATGCAAAAAGGCTTAGGCCTATTTGCTCAATCTTTGCATGGTCCGTAGCACTCACATACGTACATGTAGGCCTACATGTACATGCATGACATGAGAGCACAGCTGATGATGAACACGCAGTTCTGGGGCCAGCATCATTTATTACTTTTGTAGGCAAAACAAAGGACATTTTTGAAAGTGTGAAAAACAAATTGAGTAGTGTTATCAAAATAATGATTCCATGATAAGGGATGAGTTCAAACCGCGTGTTTATACCAACTGTGTTGTCCCTTCTTTAAGATTAATGCTCACAGTCCACGAGCTATGTGATACTCAACTTGAAACGCTGGACCATATTCACACAAATGCCATTAAAAATTGGCTTGGCCTTGTCAGTGCTTGTTGAGTTAGTACGAGTTGACTCAGGGTTAGTACGAGTTGACTCAGGGTGGGTTCGAGTTGCCGTGGGTCCGAGTGAGTTATGGGTCCGAGTTGGTTGTGAGTCCGAGTTGGTCATGGGTCCGAGTTACTATTGGGTCCGAGTTCATATGGGTCCAGGTTGGCTTCGGGTCCAAGTTGGCATGGAGCGAAGTTGGTTTGGGTCCAAGTTGACTCGAGACCCGATTCGAAGTCACACAGAGAATGACAGACATGTCTGTACGAGTGAGGGCGACTTTGAGTTCTCGAACTCAAATTTATCAAAGTATTCTTTTCTACACCCTGCATGCGTTTCTGTTTCGAAACCGTGCCCTGGGTTATTTGTCGTGAGTAGATTTTTTTGTAGGCGTACAACTATTTCTACCTCTATGCATCAACCCACCAATTAATCTCCCAACATCAGTGGGCTCAACAGATACTGTTTCGCCAGGTGAATTCCACTGTCGAGTTCCCCTACCGCTGAATTCCTGACTCTGAATGTGACTCCCAAATTCACCTCTGCCACGAGAAGGCATGTTTCATTTAAAACGTGACCTTTCACCAGTAAAGCTAGGCCTACATATCATGTACTCAGCTCAGCCTAGCCGATTTCAGCCAACGTCGTCGAGGCGAGGCACGTCATGCACGTGGATCTTAAGCCAAAAAAAGAATACGGTGTGACAGCTGAGCCGTGTTCACGTCAAATATTTTGTGGCTACAGCTTTGTGTTTTTGCCATTTAGACGGTACATAGCGGTCGAAGCCTAGCCGTGAGCAACAAAGATCGTTTCAGACAAGGTCTTAGCTCAAGACGTCACTGACAAGTTTTGGAGGATAGGTGGATAGTCTGGCTCCCTGCCCAAAGATTCCCTGAGGGTGCACCACTACAAATAAATTCCCATAGACTGCAATGATAAATCCCCACACTTTGCAATAATTTTAAAAATACTCA